GCTGGGGGAGCAATAAGCAGAGGGGGAAGTAGACTCCCCACTGTGCAAGGAGCCCGAAGCGGGACCCGATCCCAGGACCCCGGGATCATGACCTGAGCTGAAGGCAGTCGCTTAACCGACTGAGCCACCCAGGCATCCCTCACTTCCTTCACCATCAAACTTAAGTTTAATGAATTACAAAGTGATTCTATAGTTATACCTTTTTTATTTTCTTTGCAAATATGCCAACAACAAAATGGTTTCAAGGCAATAAATTAAGAAGGGAGAAGCAGCTGGTCTGAATAACCCACACAAAGGAGAAAAAGTACTTAGGGATCACTAGCAGCATTCATTCTACTGCTTAGTCCTTACACATCCTAACCAATCAATTCAACGAAAACACACCTGTGGTCAAAACGATACAATGGAATGAGAGATTCAATTTAGGAAACAGAAGCTACTGCATATGGGAATTGCCAGTTCTCAAAGAGGGCTCCATGTCCGGACATTGTATCTGTATAGTGATGAATTATAACTTCCATCGAGTTTGTGAATTCAACACTCCCCCCAGGGAGAAGCTTTTGATTTCCAAGTCAAAAAAGAGGCCTCTTCTCAGATTTCTAGTGATTCAAGGACATGTATCTATATATAGAATTATAGTGAAAACTGTAATTTTCTATAAAACAGACTTGCAAATAGTTAACAGTAACACAATCTCTTTCCTTACGTAGTCCTCGGAAGTACCAGTCTGTGGTACCACTGAGTATCTGGGAGCATATATCAGGGCCTCCCAATGACAAGGTCAGGGCACACCTGTCTGTGGTGGAGTTATGAACACACAAAAAAGCTCTGTGCTGGGGCGCCTGGGTGGCTCAGTTGGTTAGGCGACTGCCTTCGGCTCGGGTCATGATCCCGGAGTCCGGGGATCGAGTCCCACATCGGGCTCCCTGCTCGGCGGGGAGTCTGCTTCTCCCTCTAACCCTACCCCCTCTTGCGCTCTCTCTTTCACTCTCTCTCTCTAATAAATAAATTTTAAAAAAGAAAGCTCTGTGCTGTTTCATAAAATCGACTCTTGTGCAAGTTCACCCTGAAGGCTATTTTCACTTGAGCCTGTTGATTCTAAAGACTTTTTTTTTTTTTTTTTTGGGCTTCCTGATGTGAATTTTCTTTTATCCTTTCACCACACAGCAAGACAAAGCCTTGGAAAGACAGCCTTTAGATAGAGTTACACAATTTTCGCAAATGGAAACACCGATGCCAAAGAACTGGAACTGTTTAGTGCAGAGGCTGAGGAGAAAACGCCATGCTGAACAAAAGAGCGTAAGCAGCATTCAAAGGTTAGGCTGCAGCGACGCGCTGCACGTGACGGTGGTCCACTCACTTGGCACCCAGAGGAAAAACACTCCCCTCTCTGCCAAAGGAAGCCGGGTGGTCACAGTCTAGCTCCTTTCCCACCAGCCAAATTATTTTATTCTTTTAGACTCTTGTCCTTTTTGATGTGAGTGTATTGTGACCTTTATTTTTTTTCCTAATTTGGAGTGACTATGAAGTGACTATGGTGGGTAGGGCTATGTCTTCCATAGGGAAAGCTGTTTACTAAGAGAAAGGGAATAACTTGTGATTGTCTTACCTCTTTCTTAACTTGACCAGGAAAAGAAATGAGAGCCATATATTTAAAATAAATTAGAAAATAAACAAAAATTGGATGGGGCTCATGGATCTTCCGGAATCCCACAAGAGGTGTTTTTCTCTGGTTCTTTTTCCTTCCTTCTTGAGATTTTCTGTCCGGGGAATTCAGTGGAAGCGAAAAATAGGCACAGAAAGCTATGATACTTTTTCTCCTCTTTCTCTTCATGAAGGTGATGAGTCCATGAATTAGAGTTGGTGAAATCCCCAGATCTGCCTTAGGAAATCCTGCTTGCTTCTTCTGATTTATGCCCAATGCCTCAACCTTCCTTGTACCATTTTAGTTGTGTTTCTGCTCTGGAAACTCTAAGAATATTTGTTATAAGCAAATATTTTTGCTAACTGAGGAATCTGGCAAAGAACAGAGAAAGGAGAGGTTGTGTTGATACTGTGGGTAAGTAAGATCAATGCGGACTCACTGGACCAAATAGAAGTTTTCATTACTTATTTTTCTAATGACTTACAAGGCAGAATATGTCCAGCTGTGGGGGTCAGAGAACAGTTCACACCCTAGTCTCCAAGGTCCTGTATCTCAACATTCATGCTCCTGACACAAGATCCATTTATTTCAAACTGAAATTGTGTCTCCAGTGATGTGGACGTGTCCACAGGATCACAGTAGTGAGGAGGTCATTTATATGTGTACAATTGGGAGAAAGGTTATTTCCTCATAGGAGTTATTGAGTTAACTTATTCAATACTCTTACTGTAGTATATGTTCTTGAATTACACACTTATATTCGAATAAAGATTCCTATATTCACACATTCTAAATAATATCCTGGTTCTAATGAACACTCTCAAAATACTCAGAAGAAAGAAAGAGAGTGAATCTGACTAGTTTTAAGTTGGATCACTGGGATTGTCTAGAGGGGTGTGTGTGTGTGTATGCATACCCTCATAAACTTACTGACACACACAATTAGGCAAAGGAGACAAATCATGCACATATAAGACTTCGGACCTTGATTTCTGTCAGCAGAGATGCCTGGAATATTGCAATAAATCAACAAGTTCCTTACCAAAACTTACCTTTACCCATCAGAAACAGAAGCAAAATATTCCTTTTTTTTTTTGGTATTGGTTTTTAAGGGAGAGCTCTGGTAATGAGACTAGACAGGAATTCTTGGAAGGGTCATAATACAGAGCAAACAAACACAAGACACACTAACAAATGTATTATCAAGGAACAGAATGGATGGCAGAACCTGCCCTTCCTGTTTCAAACATCAGTATTTTCTTTAGGTCTCTACAGCTGGAACTAGAACATTTTCACTTTTGGGTTGGTCCGCCGCCTTTCACATGGGGGTTAAAGTAATGAGCTGTGAGTCAAACTGAACCAAGCCATACTGAATCTGGCCACTCTTCCTCTCTAATTTCTCCTGACCTCCCCTTTCTTGGCAGTCTGAAGGCTCTAATATCTTGTCTTTTGGCTACGAGAGCAGAACATATGGTTTGCTTGAAGATTCTTGTTAAACACTTGTCCATTAACCTGACAGTAGGAAGTGCTAAAGAGCAGTAACAGGAGTCAAGTCAGACATTCACCTCAAGTCCAAAGCAAACACACTTGCTCCCTAAAAAAACCTGCTTGATGTCCAGGTTAAGAAAAATCAAATAACAAATGTAACCACTGACATTGTCTCTTATGATTGGGGGACATTCTTTCACTAAGCTACTGCATGATTAATTCTGTTTTTCAGATATGATTGGGGTTTTTTTTCTTCCTTAGAGAAAACAAATTTAAACAAACAAATAGAAGCTTAAAACAAGGAATTAGGGTCTGGATAGGATCTAGGAATAATGTCTTAGTTTTGTTATAAATCCCAAGCAACACTTCATCCGCCTTTATGCTATCTATAGGTAATTCAGGAGACATTTTGCCCTGCCCCCACAGCTACCTGGAAGAAATTTCTTATCAACAGCCAATGCTTCTATCTAAAATTTGCAAAATATAATTGTGTTATGTCACTGAATAATTTCTACATTATAACCAATATAGTGGAAGAGAATCTCTGTAAACCAGTGGGAAATCATGACAAGTAAAGCTCACAGAATCCATATCCACCTGTATCCATCCATCAACAACTCAGCATATAACTTGGGCTCCTTCATTTCCATCTCATCAAATTCCTTTTACTATCTGCCTTCTTTGGTCTGTTGAGTTTTGAAAGCCTGAATATACTAGGGATGTTTAATTAGTAGATGTGATATCCTTATAATAGTACAGATAAACTTCCTTTTCCTTTTGACAAATGGATAGATAATTATTTTATTTTTTATTTTATGTTTTTAAAGATTTTATTTATTTATTTGATGGAGAGAGAGTGAGGAGGGGTGAGGAGGGGAGGCAGAGGGACAAGGAGAAACAGATTCCTCGCTGAGCAGAGAGCTTGATGCAGGGCTCCATCCCAGGACCCCAAGATCATGACCTGAGCTGAAGGTAGGTGCTTAACCGACTGAGCCACCCAGGCTCCCTGATAGATAATTGTTTTTTTAAAAAAGATTACAGACAACTCATCATTACTACCAAAGTAGCTTATTTATAGTGCAGATTATGTAGACAGGTCTGCAAACTACATTTCCTTCCTTCCTGGAACTTGTGTCCCATCTGTCTCCTGGTTCATACTCCAGCTTGTTGGCTTATGAACCACTTACCACAGCAGGTGCTGTTTCCATTCACTTATTTATTCATCCATTCATTCAAAAGACATTTGTTGAGTGCACCTGCGAATCAGTGAACTAGGGGACTTACATTATTATTTTTCATCCTAACAACCCCATGAAGTACATATTCTTATTCCTATTTTACAGATGAGGAACAGACTCAAATTAATTAACTTGCTAGATCAAGTCTGTATGATGCCAAAGCATCTTCCTTTATAAGGGACAGAAGAAGGCAACAGATGATTAATTGGCATTTTTTTATGTTTTGTGCTAACGTGATCCTCCACTGGCTTAAAACATAGAAAGTCACCAGCTCTTCCAGGCCTGTCCTGCTCAGTGAAGGAAACGAGTACATCTGTTCACTTGTCAAATTTGCTCTTTTGAAAAAAAATTAAGTTATACAAACATTTGCCATTCCATTAACTTACATAATCTAGAGACTAATGAACACAAAATGAATTTTTGCTTTTTGGGGTATTTGTCTTGTCATTAGCTAAAACATTATGACAAATTTCACCTGTAACATAAACAAACCTGAGCTATTTTAACGTCCGGAAAAAGTGAAGTTAGTGTGAATCTCGGTGCAAGACTAATTTTTACAACTGTCTCCCTCTTTGCATCAGCCTTTGCATCAGTTTAGTTTCCATTTTGAAATCATGAAATGAACGTACCGTTCTGACCTCCAGCCATCTGTTGGCTGCTGAGAGAAATAAGTAGGCAATGTTGTTTGTGTCCGTCAGCTCCAGCATACGTTGCTTAAATCTGGTTTCATGCCTGGAGAGAACAAAAATATTATCATGCTAGCCACACAACAGGAAAAATAATAAGAAACAGTCACACTTACTACTACACTATTTACTCAACACAGTGACAAACGGATGGGATGGAATGACTAGTAAATGGACTCCTACTTCAAAATAAAGGCCAGCTGCTACTGCTTTGCTGCACGCTTATTGGAGAGGGTGTGGTCCGGGGTTTCTTCCTTTCTCAGACCCCTGCTATGAAAAGGAAGCTTTCTGATGACAAATTCCTATTAAGGATCGCTTCATAAATTTCCACATAATTTTGCAGCCACAAAAACAAGGCATGGCCTATGTTGCAAGGGCCTTACAAAAACCAGAGTAAGTTGTACAGAAATGCAATATGCTCTACCTACATTTTATTGCACTTTTTACTTTTCCAAATAAACAGTTAGAGGTGGGTGGGAGGTGCTGGATGAGGACCAGGGAAGACAGGAAATGATGCATGTGTTACAGGCAAATATATACTTTTAAATGTCTCCTTCTGCCGGTGTTTCTGGGAACCAAAGAAGGAAATTGAGTGGAAAGAAGTAGAGGATGGGGGTCCTTGGAGGCGGCAGATGTTCTTGTTAGATGAGAAATCTTATGCTCAAGGTTCTAAAATATTTATAAGGATGGTCACTGCACGAAAGGAACCCTCAGTCTATGGTACTTACAGGATTTTATGACAAATACAGTTTAGATATCGATCCCTGGCTAAATTAAGTTCATTCTTGGAAATCAACATCATCAGACCCATTGCCCATTCTGGGTAATCCATGTTATAAATGAAACTTCTAATAAGAATCTTATCCATCTGAACATGTGAGCTACTTTCTTACAGAACTTATGCTCCATGGTGATAAATCTTTCTAAATAACAAAAATAGTCTCTTTTCGTTTTTCAGTTATTTTCCCTGAATAGCAGAAACAACGGAAAGCTGGATAATATAATCAAAATAACTGGTTGGAAGGTTGGAAGAAATGCCAAATCAGAATGTGGTCTATTCACTCTCCGTGGCTGTGCCTGTTCTTATATGGACCACTTGTCTGTGCGTTACATTCCTAAGGAATAACCAAGTTTCATTTGACAGCCCAGCAGTGATTCCTGTTTGATAAAAGACTGCCCCAAGTGTCACCAAATCTTCAAATCAATTTGCAAAACCTTATATTAAACCATCACTATGTCAAATGCACGAAGAAGTCCTGGGTGGGGCGTTCACTTGGCCCACGAAGCCATCCATACAGGCCAATATAAAGCAGATACTTGGTATCTGTCCAATCCATCTGATCATTCCAATACACCAAACCAGATAAATCAGATAACTGCGTCAGACAACATCTGATCTACAATAATCAAAGGATTTGGCAATCGGAGCCAAATAATTACCTCACTTTGAATTATGAGTTTGCAGACTTGACCTAAATGCCATGTACAGGAGGACCTACACTGAAGAGCAACACACTCGAGTGGGGCTGAGCAGTCCCGGGAACATGGCTACCTTGTCCTGGGATGTCCCCTTTAGAGATGAAGAGAGTGAATAAGGAAAAGGGAGGATGGCCCACAGGATTAGAGGATTTTCTGTAATAGTGGATATGAACTGTAATAAGATAATATCCACGTAAGGAACCACCTTTCTGTATTTGCAGTGTTAGGGAGATTTTCGGCCATTCATTCAGAAACATTTAGCAAGCACCAACTCTACACGAGACTATATATATATGTATATATACACGTATATATACATATATATATATATATATATACAATACGTAACCTCTGCCCTTGAGGAGCCCAGTCTTTAGGGAAGGAGGTAAACATGGTGTTAACAAGCAAGGACCGTGAAACACAGAAGCTGGTTTTAATGGCCCTGTGCACAAAATGCTACTTGAATATAAAGGAAGGGGGTGATTTGCACACGGAATGAGGTGGAGGATGGGGAGAGAAGGAGGATTAAGCAAAGTTTCACCGAGGACGGGGAGGATGATCCGAGTGAGGTTTTAAAGGATGAGCTGAATTCTTCAGGTGAACAAGGGAGGACAAAGCATTGGAAGCAGTAGGAACAACATGAGCAAAGGCACAGAAATGAGAAAACTCATCACGTTCAGGGGCTCAGGACAAGGTTCTCTCCCTAGAGGACAGTGGTAATGGGGAGATCGGAGGTGGGGCCCATTGGACAAAAGCCACTGGACCACATTTGGGATAAACATCAAACACTTTATTCTGACAAAGTGCTTGGTCTGGGACGCTTCTTACTCTTCATTTAGTTTTGGGATATTGTTTCAGATGCACTCTTAAAGAGTTTGTAAATGGAATTGGCAATGGTCTGAAGCAGCAGCGAGAGGGGAGGGGTGGAAATGCAGTGAACATTCTTTCTGTGTGTTTCTATTTGGCAAGAAACCTTCTGTTTTCCTAATGGAAACTTTGACACACTCAGTCTGTATCTTTTCATCCACATCCAGCTCATCTTCTGAACATTCTTAGACCTTTATTCTATTGGACCAAAAAAAAAAAAAAAATAGGAAAGGTCACTGAAATCTCAGTCTAATTTAACTGTGATACTTTCGTGGTAAACTACTTGAGGGAGTTCACTGCCACATGTGAGTACACCATGAACCCTGAATGCCGGGGAGGAAAAGCAGCCTAATCAGTAAATACTAACTTTCCAAAAGAGCTGAAGACTCTGGGGACTCTGGGTAGCCTGAAAGAAAGGAAGAAATGGATGGAAAGAACATGTTTGATTCTTGACCAAAAGCACCAAACGTAAAGACTCTAGAATTTTATTCATGACAGCAGGACTGTCCCACATTTTAAAACTTCCTTTGGTTTAAAAATGCTGATATTTATGGTACTTAATATTTACTCTAGAAATGAATGTTGGAAGATGTAAATCTGAATGAATATGACACAGATACTTTTCCATAAAAAGTTGGGTTGTCTTTTGTTTCTTCCAATCATAATTCAAGCCTTGAAGGTTTAACACATAGTATTTTGTTCTTCTTACAACTACCTAGACTTTTCCTCATGTAAAATTAGGAATAGTCATGCCAAATTCTGTCCATGTGTCTAGTGAAGAAGGTAAAAGAAAAGCCTAAACCTTGACTTGTGGTCAAGTTCCTCTGTCATTCTAAGTTGTTATTTCCTTCAAGACGATTTACCTGATTCTAGTCCTCATCACTCTTAGAAAATAACCTCACCTTGTTCAGGGAGAAAACAGACAGAGGCTGTTATATGTTGAACTCATTAACGTCCTACTGTTCCATCGACCAGCTTGCCTGAATCCAGTCACTTCTTGCCCCCCACCTGTCATGTTATCCTATCTATTTTCTTTGTGGTATTTATCTGGGATGGAAGTGGAAGACCATGTCTTTGTAATCTTTAAATATCCACATCAAGAGTAGTACCTATCATATGTTCAATACTCAAATAGATTAACTTGAAAGGACTTATTTGGTGAAAAATGTAATATTTAATATGATAGACTTAGGAGTACCACTGGTCATTGCTGGCTTCTATCAGGATACAAATTTGGTCTTAATATTATCATTCAATATCAATAAGTAGCTTTGCCATCTCCAATAAGAGGCACTCTGATGGGAAAACACATCATTGCAGAAAGTGTGAATCTTCATGATGAAGTTTATGTAGATTTATGTAGAAATTCTGTGATACATATTGTGGGTGGTTATATCTCTATATTCTACTTTTTGATTCAAGTTTATATATATAATAATATAAATATTTCTTAGGTTAGAAAAAGCTCTAATTGAAATCACTACATATTTGCATTTAGGGTTCCAAGAAGACATACTTTACGATGTCAATTTTCAAGATTAAATGAAATATTCATTGGTGCCACCTTCTCTTCTGAGTTTACCTGAACAGGGAAAATAGGGGCCAGATAATTTTCTGAGTGTTAAGCAAATGCTCTTGATCAAAAGCTTGGGTTCTTACTGTTAACCAGTAATAACTGAAGAAAACTGATTAAATCCTAAAATAACTTGATATAGTAGTTTTTATTTTATTTTATTTTTAGTAGTGTTTCTTTTATTATTATTATTAATATACTTATTTTAATTTGTTTATTGGGTGCTTCTTTGCTAATCACCATGGTTAGTGCTTCCCATGCATTTGTCAATTAGTCCAATGACCTTAAGAAGCAAAGTTGATTTCTCCATTTCACAGATAAGGAAACTGAGGCTAGGGAATTGACAAGCCTGGTCTATATTACACAGCTAGTATCTTCCCAATATGGTGTTTCATTCTTTCTTTATTCTTGTTAAAATTTCAGAGGATTAGACTAACTCCGAACATTTATTGCCATATTTTTCTCTCTTCTAGTTTAGAACACTGCCATGCCCACACAGTGGGCATCCAAAGAATGGTAGCAATTATCAGTTATTTGCAGATAGATTTGTTGATGATGTAATTGCTTAATCAGCAAAATGAAAATATGTGTGCTTACCTAAATGCCCGAATGGTGGTGAGTCCTTCAGCTGTTTCTGAGAAGTGGCAAAGCAGAGGGAGCTGGGTACTATCATCAAGTTCCTGGAGATCCCTAGAACAGAGAGAAGTACAAAATTAACTTCATATGCCTTCAGGTTCAGAGGCTACTGTGTTCATCCTAAATTAGGGTTTTTACTTGTCATTGCAACTAATTTCTTCTAGAACCCAGTTAACAAAAACCTCAAAGAGTTTATAATCTAAAGAGGAAGAGAAAGATGAGTACATAATGAATTTTGGTCCAGGCCAAATATACACTGTATTGTAAAAAAAACTACTTGCTTTGTATAACAAGTATAGTAAACTGCTATGGGGACACAAAGGGATGGATATTTAACTCATACCTAGGAGATGGATAATATTTTTTTTTTTGAGTAGGTGGAATTTAGGCTAAATGTTAAGTTTTGAGGAGGGCTTCAATAAAACAGACAAGAAGAAGTGCATTCCAGCTATGAGAACAAGAGCAAACACCGCAGACTAAAGAACCTGGCAGGTTCAGTCTGGCTGGTGCTAAGAATCCTTTGTGAGTGCCGAAGTGGGGAATGGCTGTATAAAGGAGAGATGGGACTAGGTGGTGGAGGGTCCTGGGTGGCTTGGACAAAATCACTGAAGACTAGAAATAAAATGATCAGGCTATGCTTAAGCAACATGACTTGGGAGGCTATAAAGGATGAAAAAGAGTAAGTGAGTTAAGATAGTCTACATCAGAGATTTTTTTAAAGCTCTGAATTACTGGGATGCTAGTGAGATTTAAAACAAGGGAAGGATTGTGAGATAGTCTTCCAAAAGTAGGCTTCTAAACTGCAACAATCAATGAATTGTAGCAGGGTGAGTAAGAGAGAAGAGTCAAATATGGCTTTGCTGTTTCTAGCTTAGCAGTCTTGACAAATGACCATATTATTTACCAGGATGGGGGCCATAGAATAAAGGAATTTGAAGAAAAAGACAATGAGTTTGCCCTTGGCCACAATGAGTTTGAATCCTTGCCTCCATGCTTCATGGAACTTTTTTTCATAGGTCCTCCAAGAAACTACATATATACGATATCCAGTGAATGTTTGGTGGACAAACCCCTGAATCATCCTTTTGATAAAGATGCACACTACTGATGAAAACGTTTCCTTAAACCACATAAGCCTGCATTTCTATAAGATAGGCTAAGAGTTATACCATATGTTTCAAAACATCCCTCTTTTTTCTTTTCAGTCTTTTTTTTCTGCCATTTTTTTAGGTTTTTGGGGTTGAGGATTTAGAGTTGCAGCATCAACATTCACCTTCCAGAGTCAACTGAATTATACTGTTACATAATCTTCAACAATTAACTTGGGCCATTCTGGGTGGCCTGTGTAGTGCCACAAACAAATGCAAATCTCTTTTGAGTTCCTACAATGGGTTTGTCCACTTTAGAAACTACAGATGAGGAGACAGAAAGAAAGAGGGAAGGGAAAGAAAGGGGGGGGAGGAAAATGAATATGAAGGAATGTGAGTAGTTTGCTACTTTAAACATAAAATTAAGTGGCTATTTGTCAATTTGACACAAGTATCAGGTGGTCACTACATTTGAGGTTTGTAATGAAGGGAAAAAATTAGGAAGGAGAAGCCTTTGTTTATAGGACTATACTTTGTGAAACCAAAAAGGTGAGTGTATAGCTTGACCTTGTATTCTTATAAGTAGGAAACACTTCCTTACATAGCTAACCACACATTAGGTCTTTGATTTCAGAGATTCCAAATTCAATGGCCTTTCCTGTCTCCCACTTTCATTCCTTTGGGTGTTTACAAAACGTCTGTTAAGTTGCCTGAGCTTTTCAATATGAGTGAGTCCTGCAGAGCCTCAGCATCTAGAAAGGTTTTTGTTCTTTTTTAAAGATTATTTATTTATTTACTTGACACAGAGAGAGAGCACAAACAGGCAGAGCTGCAGGCAGAAGGAAAAGGAGAAGCAGACTCCCTGCTGAGCAGGGAGCCCTATGCGGAGCTCGATCCCAGGACCCTGGGATTATGACCTGAGCCGAAGGCAGATGCTTAACCGACTGAGCCACCCAGGTGCCCCTAGAAAGGTTTTTTTGTCTGTGAAATTTAATGTCATGTGGTCATATTTGCTCACTTTCAAAAAATTTCAAATAAGAATGGTTGATAATCCATTATCAGTGTTAATTCTTCAAAAGTGGTGCCTGGGTGGCGCAGTCGGTTAAGCATCTGACGCTTGGTTTCAGCTCAGGTCCTGATCTCAGGGTCCCAAGATCGAGCCTCATATGTGGCTCTGCACTGAGCGCAGAGTTGGCTTGAGATTCTCTCTCCCTCTGCCCCTTCCACTCATTCTCTCTCTAAAATAAATAAATAAATCTCTTCTAAAAAGGATCATCTTCGTATTTTAGTCACTACCAATGCTAATAACAGATTGTTCTTTCTTATAATGAACAAAATTCACAATTCCTATTATTTATTTATTTATTTGATTATTTGCAATTCCAATTTATAACAGACTAGGAATATTTGCCTGGTCTTTGCACTCAATTTGTATTGCAAAGGGGCAAAAATAGGCCCAAATTGGTACATGACTGAAGTAAGACATGACTGTAATATTTAATGGTAACAAGACAAGGATAGATTTAGAAACAACAGAAATGAATTAACTGAACGTCTTGCCCCTCCAGCAAGCAGCATTAGCAATAGTACCAGAAGAAATGAAAGAGTGAACTCATGACTAACTTCTTCCTTTTGGTCTGAGTTTGCTACAAGAAAAATGGATGAGGTTGGGAATGAAAAAACATTCTAGATTTAGTACAGATCTCTAACATTTGAAGGACCTTAAATCATAGCTGAAATGGAGAAACAACCACATTTTTTTAAATTAAAAAATGTTATATGATATATTGAGAGGATCCCAACTACAGTCTTGGCTTTTCTTATTACCTTCCCCAATTTTTCATCATCTTCCTTGCACTCAAGTCCTATTAATAGTATTCTCATTTTACTGAATAAACTCAGTATTTACCTTCTTATTCTAGCACTTAATCCACATACAAGGATTACCTTATCTATGTTTTATTTTCCCCAGAGATTAAGTTTCTTGAGAATAGGTTCTTGTCAGGTGGATCTCTTCAGCTGCCACATGGCTTACACAATTATTTTCAACACAGAATGCTTACTGAGTGTTTGTTGCAATAAGATGATTATTGCCATGATATAAAATTCACTGTAATATATATAGAAAGCCTTCAAAGCTAAACTGGAAATTTTAAAACAACTGTACTACATTTCATTTAACTACAGTACATCTAGCAAATGATAAATCTTACGTTAATAAAAGAATGTAAGATTCATGGCTTCCTTTATTTATATTTGGCTGGGTACTCAAGTACGTGTTAAATGATCCAATCTGGAAAGTTCCAATCTCTTGGAGTTACAGCTCTTCTATCAGACATTTCAAGATTATCTACTTTATTGTCATCATTCTGGCTTAAATTTTTAACCTTTTTAAATTCTCCTAGATTTTTACAGAAGGCATTTTAGCATTTTACAATATTTTATCTTTTCTCCCCATTTGTGGAATAGAACAATATGAAGTCACTTACCCTTTGGAACTGTGTTTGGTTTTACAAGTTTTCTGTCAATGTCATGTTCAGAAAAAGGACAACAGAATGAAAAATTTGGCATAGTTTGTGGACTCAAAACTCAACATGTTAATCCACATGTTAATCTATGTCCAGGGCTTAAACAACCAATTACAGAAACAATTATAATAGATCTCCAAATGAAATATAATACAGGTTTTATCATGTTAAAAATAGGTTGCATTTCCAAATTCCGTACGTAATCTTGAAAAACACTACAGCAAATCTGAATCACAGCAAATCAAATATATAGGCTTTTGAAAATGAATAAAACTTTGTTTTACTTACTTAGAAGCCACTCGAAAGTATTTCTGGATAAAATAAAAGGCGACCCCGAGAGGCACAAGAGCAACCAGGAACACAGGGGTGGCATAAGAAATCATGCCAATGGCGGACAGGCAGAGCAGTGTTGAGCGAGTTAGAGATTCCAAAGTTGGAGGGATGTGCTATTAAGAAGGTAGTTTGAAAGGAAAATATTTTAGCTCAAAGAAAATATTCATTACAATGGAATAAAATATTCACTTTATATTAATGTTAAGTTATATAATTAGTTACAAAAGTAGTATATGAACATTTTCATTGTAAGCAAGTCTTCACTCCTTCAACTTCATTCACTTCCCTTAGTTCAGTGTTTTTACCCATCTATCTACCTATCTACTTATCATTGGTCAGTCTGTCGGTCTGTTTATCTTGGGGATTTTATGGAAATGGTACTATACTATAAATCTTATTTGTCCATGTGTTCTTGATTTATTTTACTTAACAAGATAGACTATAAACCTTCCCATGTTGGGGCGCCTGAGTGGCTCAGTTGGTTAAGCGACTGCCTTCGGCTCAGGTCATGATCCTGGAGTCCCGGGATCGAGTCCCGCATCGGGCTCCCTGCTCAGCAGGGAGTCTGCTTCTCCCTCTCCCGCTCCCCCTTCTTGTGCTCTTTCTCTCTCTCAAATAAATAAATAAAATCTTTAAAAAAAATAAAAAAAATAAATAAAAAATAAATAAACCTTCCCATGTTACCATATACAAATCTCTCTCTCTTTTTAATGGATATTATTAAAAACACAGCATATTATTAAAAACATAGTTAGCTATTCCTCTTCTGTAAGACATTTACATTAATTTTCTGTATCTTGCTTGCTCATATTTTTGACTGGATTATTTATCTTCCTTGTTGATTTTTAGATGCTCTTTACAGATTATGGATGTTTTCCTCTTGCTTTACATATGTTGCCAGATTTTCTCCCAGTTAATCTATTACATTTTAAATTTGTCTTTGATGCTTTTAGCTCAAAAGAAGTTTAAGATTTTATATAGTCATTTCCTTTGGCTTTTTTCTTTATTCAGAGTTTTGTGTCTTACTTAATTCCCACCCCAAAATTCTAAAACTACTCTCCCACATTTTATTTTATAGTTTTATGTTTTTATATGGCTATCTTTATTCCATATGTATTTGCTTTGTATTTTATGGATAGCTAATTGTCCCAACATCCTTTATTGAAAAAAATAATCCTTTTTTTAACTGATTCCACATACCACACTTATCCTGTGTTAAATCCCTCCATATGCTGGTGTTTCTGAGTTCTCCATTTTTTTCTTTTGATCTGCTTGTTTTCTGTGATCACCAGAGTATTTTATTTTTATAATGGTTTCTGGATATCTGATAGGGGAATTCTCTATATATACAGGATTTTTGGATTTCTAGGATTGTTGGATCTCTTTTCTTCTTTTAGGTTTCTCTCTATTTTTGTTTTTGTTATTATTATGAATAGAATTTATTTTTCACTTAATTTTTTAATTGGTGTAGAGAAAGTTATTGAATTTTATATCATATACCTTATGCAGATACTCTTCTGAACTTTCTAGCTGGTTTTTATTGTACTAATTTTCTTGGACTCTCTAGGTGGCAATCATATCATCTTCCAAATAAGGACGGTTTTGTCTCTTCTTTTTCCATATGTATTCCTTATGAAGTGTTTTAGATGCAGTGTGACTAACCACCAAAGAAAACATCAAATTTTTCAGTATACTTTTTAGTCAGCTGCATGCATCAAGCATTCTTTTCCTAAACTGAGGGTAATTTAGGTATTCTGAAGGTAACTCCGAAAAGTCAGAAAAGACAGGTGCTGGATTTGATGGATTCTTTTGTCCATTATCTTAAGGGGTCTGTTCTTGGAGTGATCCAATTTTAGAGTTTGAGGACTTTAATTGTAGGACAAACTTCTAGAAGGGCAGAGGGATCTAAAACTAAACTGGGCATCCTTGGAATATTCTCTAAAATATCACACCATCTGAAACTTTTCTTATTAAAGAGCCAGTCTAGTTGAAGTAAAGGACATCTAAGACAGCTTGGCATTCCATCCTTTGCTTCTGGGAGACACTCTGCATCAATACTAAACTTTTAAGAATTTTGCTGTGAATGGAGAGACAACATTGATCAAAATGATTCCTTTTTATAATAAAAAAATTAAATGTTAGTTTATTCTTTACCATTTCCCTTTATTTCATGCTCATTCTCTAAGTATCCTCTTCTACATGCACAAATTATTTCAAATTAAGGTTTTCCTTTAAGTTTTTACTCTATAAATCTGTTATGAATATAATATTGATAAGTGTGCCTATAGGCTTTAAGTTTTAGACATCCTCTATTGTTAACAGGAATCATGTTTTATCTTAAATGTTATCTAGTTTATACTGAAAAAATTGTTTCTGAACTTGGAAGTATCTCAGGCACTCACCTGATCAATGATATTTGTATCAGCTGAGAAGCGATTGAGAATCAGTCCCAGGGGGGTGGTATCAAAGAATCTAGGAAATAAACAGATTGGAATGTATGATAATAGTAAACTGTCTGGAACCTGAGCACTGCTAATGGACATCTTAGAGTCGGGAAAATGAGAAGGTTCCTGTTTATTTGCTAAAAGACCAAATACACTCTCTAAAATTTCACATTTCACTTAAATTTAAAGATGTATGTTTTTATGATTTTGTGTAGGGGAATAAGAAATGATTACATTTTTACCTTATTGGTCCAAGAATTATCTTATTGAGGAGGTTGTGGTGAAGGTTTTTGGCAGCTGTGAGACCCATCCATTCTACAGTGAGAGATGTAACAAGGCAGAGAAAAATACCTGCTCCACAAAGTATGCTAAATCCAGCCACATAGTAGGTCTAAAAAGCAACCGACACCAAAAAACCCACATATGACATTATCAGTTTTTTCTTACTAGAACACAAAATATCAAAGTCAGACAATATTTTCAACTTCATTATCTTGTATCAATTTAGACAGTTGAAGGAGTGCAGTTTTTGGAGACTAAAGACAGTACCCCCACCATGTCCCTCCTTGTTTCCTTCACTCTCTTCCAAGGTTTGCCTAAAGGCAGATGAAGCATTAAAGTCTGTTTTCAGGTTTGAAATATTCTTGGCTTTCTACACTGTAGAGCTCATCCTTCCTATCCCCAATCTCAGATTAACCAGCTAATACATTGGCATCAGTAGTTAAAATCAATACCATTAAAACAATAACACAAAAGTCCCGTGTATATGTTACACACACACACACACATCATGTGCATATACCTCTCTTGAATGCAAATCCAAACATTATCTTTAAATGTTTCTTATGATAAGCTTTAAAACACAAAAATGATCCTAATAGATTCCATTTTGACATGCCATTCCATTTCAGGTCCTATTTTAATTAACTTACTGAATCATTACAAAAGTCCTATGACATTTGGGCTATTAATATCAAACTAAACAAAAGAGTATCATGTTAATCTCAACATTTTTTCCTTGATGATTTAAAAACAGAATTCACTATACCTGATCAGCTTTTCCAGAATTGCTTATACTGTACTCCGAAGTCCATGTGGCTAGCCAGTAGTCTATGGCCACAATGACTGAATGTTTCAAAAGCTTAGAGAAAATCATCAGGAAGAGCAAGAAGAATCCTCCAGAAGTAAGGTACCGCCAGCAGGTTTTCCATGGCATTTTAGTCCTGAGCCTCATTACAGTGGACATATTATCATCCTCATCTTCCTCCTCTTCTTCCTCTGCATGTAAAATATTAGTTTAAGCTTTCCTCATCAACAAGTAGATAAAATTCATATTATCTCACAAAAAAGCATATAAAAATCTCCCTCAGATTTATAGAAATACAAGTGTTAGTCTTAGAAATTTTAAATGCTTTTAGCCGGGAAAAACCTCATTTAAAAAATTGGTGAAAAATGAATGAATGAATGAATGAATGAGCAAAACAATAAGCAACATCTATGTCTGGATGAGATAATTTGCCAATTTATTACACATCAAATTGGCAGGAAGTATAGACTAGAAGTTTACAAAGTTATCAAAAGAACTGTGTTGCCAATAAAACCACAGGTCTGGCCTTTAGACACTTACAATTTTTTGAACTCTAAATTTTTGTATTTGTAAAACTTCACCAGAAGGAAACAGACTCTGAAGTTTGTGGATTGCCCAAGAAGGCATAATCTATGCTCTCTATGGTCCATTTTAGATGTGGTCATGGAGGAGCATGAGCAAGAAGAAACCTTCCAGACAGCAAAAGCAGAGGACAGAGGACAAGAGTCAGGGAGTTTCTCTCAGATGTTTAAACCATCTGGAAACTCCAAGATGGTTATCCTAAGAACATACTCTATAATGAAGATGGAATTTCAGCATTTCCTCACCGGCAAAATTTGATTATTTGTGTGGTCTGGTGAATGTTGTGCATTTCCCATCCTTTCCTTTTCCAAAGACCATTTTCATTGCAGTTATCCTGTTACATACTCCACTACTCTATATTGAGTAGGTTGTGGGTAGCAAAGATAGATAACTTTGGTTTACAGGTTATCAGACCACAGAGATCTAAATATGGACACTATGGGAAGAATGAGCATCACCAACGATCCTAGTATTTCGAACTGGATGCAGCAAATGAACAGGTCTCAGATAATATGTCCTTTGGTAAGTGTGGGGTCAATGTGTGAGGACAGGATTAGAAATCTGCATGGTGAAAGTGCTAGACACTTGCAGACTATTAGCTGTCTCCCCAACATCCATTCTCTGTTTCCATATTAATTGAAATTTCAACTGGCCTATGGCTGCCCAGCTAAATACAAGATTTCATCCTTTTCCCAGTACCTAATCTGTCCATGTATTGAAGTAGCCAATGGCAAGGAGTTAGGAACAATATGTGCAACTACTTCCCTTCTTCCCTTCCTGGTGGCTAGAAACAGACATAATGACCAGGACCAGGACCAGGAATAACAACCTAGTGGGAAATACATAGCATATCGTGCTCTTTAATATGCATTACATCATTTTAGTCTGTAAGAAAATAGTACTACCTTATTTTATGCCCGAGAGAATGGATTAACACAACAAGCCCAGGGTAGAGTATCCAGCCATATACAAACCACTGGAACACTGGAGAGAGTAACTGGACATGACTCCACTTTTAGAGTGCATGAGAAATAACTGGTTTTAAATTCTAGAAACTGATGTCTGTTTATAGCACCAGATATTTTTAAATCTAAGGAATTGAAGTGCAAAATCTATTCATTCATTTGTTCATTCATTCCCTCTCTCAATGAGTATTTATTGAAATACTGAATACTTATCTGAAATATAAAGGTAGCATATTTTGGTATTCTTTGCCTTGAAATTACAATTTTCTCTCTTTCTTAATTGGCTTGTAGAAATGCAGTCTTAAGCAAAAACTGTATAAGAAACATGAAGTATAGTGCATTTACCCTATGGACTTAAATGAGATTTATCTTACAAACTTCTTGGCAACAAATGTCAAGGCAATGTAATTATTTCATCTTATTCCTCTATTTTCCAGGAAATCTTTTTTTCTCTACTGTACCTTATTAGATCCAGAAAACTGAAGCATAACAAATGGCTTTCGTGGAATTCTCTTATTCTTTGTTGCTGTATTGTCATGAAAATTCCCTGAGGACTTACTGAATGATTCAAGTATAAATATTTCAAAACAGTATTTTCTTCATATTCCCCATTTATTGCTTATTTCTGAAGGACTGACATTTTATTAATAACTTGATTTGGTCATTCTACTAGACTTTCCAATTTATATGAACAAGGGTCTAGAGTTATTTACGAAACAGGGCCTTTTCCTCTCAGCCCTCTCTCTCGCACAGCACAAATACACTAAGACACACTTAGAAACCGCTCACGATGCCTGTTGATGGATTACATACACCTTTTCTTTGCTCCTATTCTTTTCATTTTCAGTATTACATATTTGGCTTAGCTCTTTTCTCCCTGCAAAGTGGCTTTTTATTCTTCACAGACATACTTGTGCATCAGTAGCCAAGATAAAGCAGTCACGTCCCACTTGAATGTTTCAGATATAAGAAAAAGATCTACCTTCATCTTCATCCTCCATTTGGGCTTTGGCCTCTCTCGAATACATGGCTCTTCGGAGGGTTTTCCTCTCCAAAGTTGTTTGGTCAGCTTCCATATCCTACAGTAAACACCATGATATCATTATTCAGGAGCTCACAGCCCTAGGAAGGTTTTAACTTACCCATCAGTGACTCACACATATCAATCGTTAGTTATCTATACCAGTCTTGAGCTCTCTGCTCTCTCTAGAGATCAACAACTCCTGTTGTAGGAGTAATTGTGAGGCAACGTCTGAGGTTTGTAAGGCTTCAGAGCTCCGAAGTGTTGGGCAGTAAGAAGCCAGGGCAAGTAGCAACAACACAATGGCGCCAACCCCAGGAGCAGGGACACCTCCTCCAGTCTTAAAACATAATTCTACCACTGCTACTTATTTTATCTTGACATCACTTTCAGATACTCCTTGTAATTCTCTAACTAAAGATTTAACCATGTTAATAAATAATTTCCTTCAACAATGCATGCAGTTCTAGACTGGGTAGAGCTCCATCACTCATCCCCTCTTATTATAAATTACTAAATCAGAGTGAGTTTCCTTAGCATCTCACTAGGGTAGCTGCATAAAAGAAATGGACTTCAATAGGCAGTGAAGGAAGGTAGGTAATTTTGAAGTAAATGAAAAATGAGGGTACTTAGGTGCCTAGCAGCTTAAGAGAAAGCCCTAAGAGGGGGAAATATGCAGAAGGAGAAGGGAAACGTGCCCCAAACAAACTGTGAACTTGTCAGGGTTGTGCGCTCAAGACAGGGAGCGGGATTTCATTTTCTCCATTCCTCTGCTTCCAATACCCTAGTTCCCTTGGCTTCAGAACTGGAGTGGTAGTATCAGTTCTGACACATTGTGGGTTAAATCCGCTGCTGCAGGACAGTTTGGGAAACTAACCATAGCCTTGTTTCTATGGGGAAATGCATTCTGAGTTCCAAACAACTGACCCACAAACTTTTGGAATCCATGGTAAATTGAGGGCTTTCTGTATATGCTCTCTCTCTCTCTCTCTCTCTCACACACACACACACACACACACACACATATCACTGTTTGACTGTTATATCAATAAACAAATAAACCCTTAGTGATCAGTCTCTAGGTAGTGATCGTGTTGTTGTTTCGTTTTGGCCTTATACAACATGTGTGATTTAGGAGATTTGCTAGAAGGCTCTATTGCTTCCAGATTCTTGGTTTAAAAAGAATGAAAACTAAAGTATCTCTTGAATAGCATTTTTTTCAGAGACAATTTCATATCAGCTTTTAATTTTGTCTAATGATATGAAAACTAAAGCTCGTATGTAAAATTAAATACAAAATTAAAGCTGACTCGATCCTTTGCATTTAGGGTAATAAATGAAATGACCCTGCACATTGGAAAACAGCAGATTTGGTTCTTGTTCAACTCTCCCTGCTATGTGAGCAAAAGATGGAACATCTCAGATACTTAAAAAAATCTTTATTCATTTTTCTTACAAGTAAATGCTCATATTAAGCTCATCACAGGTTAAATATTTTAAATTACATGGATATTTGGCTTAAGTAAATGTGAATTTTGTTTCATTTATCTAATAAGTATTTCTTGAGTGCCTGTTACAGATTGGATCAAGGTGAGGGTTGGGGCAGGAGATATCAAATGATGTTAGTTTATTTTGCTTAAAAACATCAGGAAGATAAAGGTGTCACCCAAGCTAGAATTTTTAATAATATTTAAATCAGTTCAAAGTGTTATCTCCTCTTTCTTCTTGTAGTTTTCATTGCTATCCTTGCAACATATTCTTTTGTTGACACCTAGTCCTCAAACTGACAGTTGTGTCTAAAGCCCAGTGACAGGATGTTTTGTTTCACCAGCCTTCTCTGCTTACTTGATCTAGTCTGGCTCTAGGTCAGCCTTTCTCAACCTTGGCACTATTGACATTTTGGTCAGATAACTCTTTGTTGTGGGGGCTGCACTGTAGGATGTTTAGCAGCATTGCTGTCTTCTACCCATGAGAGGCTAGTAGCACCTGCCCCCCAGCTGTGACAACCAAAAATGTTTCTAAATGTGGCCAAATGTCCCCTAGAAAGCAAACAAGACCCTGGTTGAGAACCAGTGCTCTTGGCAAACACCCCATCCTGCCACATAACAAAGTGAACAAGAAACTGTTTCCCCCTCCCCGCCAGTGTGAATCTCACTGCCTTCAAATGAATTTCCAATGCTTGCCCGTCCTTAGGTGGCAGTAACCTCCCTGCATCCCCAGGTGAGGATTCTGGACAGGTGCATGGTTCCTTCTGGCTTCTACTGGCCACTCACTGTTCAACTTCACAACTGCATTTGCTTTGTCCACACCCTAACTTGTTCTGTATCTCCGCCAGCTGATTTATAACCCTGTAATGTGTCTTTAATTATAGAGTTATGCTATCTCAAGTGATCACTTCATTTCTAAATACAACTTAATGGACTTTCTTCCTGGCTTGTTTAACAGTCAGTATTACTATAAAATCAAGCCAACAACTCTCTCTTTCTTTTTTTTCCAAATCTTCTTTCCAAAGTAAACCATAAGTGGCCCCATTCCTTAAGCTTACGTCATATTCTTTTGTCCCTGGCATCTAGGTCACTGTAAAAAATGTCATTTGGAGCCATCCCAATCAAGTTTCTCACAGTAAAATTCCTAAGTGGGCACTTGCTGATGGTACCTTATAATTTTTTTGATGAATATCCTCATTTAAATGGTTCTGTGTTGTGTCCCATTCTACTTCACTTCTACTTTTACAAATATCTTTTCTTCCTTAGGTAGTTTACTTTTGAGGTCTTTGGCAAATCCACAGAAGACAGAGAAATCCTAGGGTCTGTCTGACTTTTTATCTTCCTCTCTCTATTGGAACAGAGATCCTTTTATTCTTTTATAAAAATAATGCATTTTAATTTCTTGATATTCTCAGGAATTTGCTGATACAAAAATTTCATTTTATAATGTTGAGTCCTGGCCAGGAGTACCAAATTCTGGACACTTTCTAGTCTCAAGTCAACAAACATTTAAAAAATTTACTAATACAATTTATAATTTCACCTCTCAACCACAAGTTGTTCTTTCATTGCTCTCAGTCTGGTCTCCGACTCCGTTATCACCTCATTCAATGTTATATTTATATCATACATAACATTACACCAGAATTACACTGAATATGGACCTGGATTTAAGTCCAACTAGTACCACTTATAATATGTACTGTACAACTTATAAGTTACTTAACCTCTCTCGGCTTCAGTTTTCTCACCTATAAAAGTGAGATCATATTTTCTTTATTTATTTCCCATATTTTCTTTGCTTTTTTCTGGGGGTTTGTGAAAATCAAATGAGCTTATGTAAAAAAAGGCTTTAAACTTAAAAACGATATCAATGTAAAAATTAATTTTTACTTCCTCCTAATCACCTTCCTTCACTTCCCAGCCTTATTCCAGGCATGCTTAACAACTTCACCCACAGCTCACAGCTCTTCCTTCTTTCAAAATCATCTTAGATTTTGTTTCGTCCATGACTCTGTATTTGTAGGTGGTGAGTGAAAATATCCTCACATTATATATGAATAAAATAAGATACACAGAAGAAAAATTAAGATAAAATAATGATATACCATGCTTCAGCAAAGTTTAAGTTTTAAACACATATAATTATAATATGGTTCAAATTAAAATCAAAATCTCCTAAAAACTTGAGAGCACTTCCTCCAAAAGATATCATTAGAATTGTATTGTTTCAAAGTAGCTTATTTATTGTTTTAAGATTTTATTTACTTGAGAGAGCGAGCAAGCACGAGCATGTGCATGCGCGAGCAGGGGGAGGGACAGAGGGAGAGGGAAAAGCAAGCTTCCCACTGAGCGTACAGCCTGACGCAGGACTCTATTTCAGGGCCTCGAGATCACAACCTGAGCTGAAGTCAGGCACTTAACCTACTGAGCTACCCAGGTGCCCCCAAAGTAGCCTATTTATTAATGACATATAAATTTATAATTACTTTATGTTTCAAATGAGAACCATTATATCATCAAATATTAAATGGTAATACTCCTTTAAACAAATTTTTAATAATTATACAGTATATTCATGACTCTTTTAAAGTGAACTCTGAACTCTTCTGATTTATGAGCAATTACCTTTTCTAATTCTTGATCTTGCCGATTCATAAGTGTTTTCCAGTGTTCATAAAGCTCAACATCTTTGGTTTGAATGTCCTTCAAAGTCCCTTCTCTTAATACACTTCCATCTTTCATGGCTATGATCTAAAGAAAGCACATATTAGCATAACTGTGACAAAAATCCTTAACTGGCCAAATGAATTATTTTATCTCAGACAGCATTTCTTAATGTCCCTATTTATTAATATGACTATAACATTAAAATTAATGAAATTTATTTTAAACTCTTACCCAGTCAGCATGTGTTAGATACTGTAATTTGTGAGTCACAAGAACAAGTGTCCTTTTGTCATCTTGGAGAAATTTCAAAATCCCTTCCTGCATTAGGTGATCACTCAAGTGAATGTCCAGGGCAGAGAATGGATCATCCTACAACCAGTAAAATGGAGAGAAGAAGAAACAATTTCTATATTCTTGATATGACTCAATTTCTCTAGAAAGTAGAAATATAAATAAGAGTAAATTATCTCTAACATCCAATTTATAAAAAAAACAGACCCTGTCTATATTTAAATTGTTGAGAAAAGGTTTTAAATTAAAAGTGAAGCTTTTATTTTCTCTTTCACCTTAAAAATTATTTAAAAAGTAAATAACAATATCCCAGGTGGTTTGTATTATTATATATAAGAACTTCAAGCTCAAAAGACAACACTTCTTGACAACCTTTAACAATAGACTGAAGAAAGAATAAAACAATAATTCCAGTAGTTGAAATTTAGATAATAAAAACAGTCATAGACTCCAGATCAAGATGGCGACATAGGAGGTTCCTAAATTTCCCTCCTCCCCTGGGTGCTCTGACTATGTAGCTACACACAGAGCAATTCCCTCTGAGAGAAATCCAGAAACTAGCTGAGTGACTTCTAAACACTGGAAAACTAAAAAAATACCCCATCTAAAAGACAGTAAAGGCTGAGACACATTCTCACTACAAACCTCACCCGCTGCCTAGCACCATACAATTGGAGGGAATCCCTAACACCCAGCTTCTCTCTGAGTAGTGAAGGATTGGGACCATACATCTAGTGCCCAAACATTTATGGCTGCTACCCAAGGAACAGGCCCCCAAATCACTGAGCTTTGAAAGCCAAGGTGCTTACATAGATAAGTCCCACAGAAATATAGGAAACAAAAAGCAGCTGGTAATAGGCACATGAGCACTTACCACATCTATCTCTCCAAGACTCAGCACAGAGGGAGCAGACAAAAAAGCCCTTTTCTCCGTCTCCCTGGAAGGAGTCTGACTGTACACTTTACAAGCTGCTACCGGAGGGTCCAACTTCTAATTGGCATGAACAGTGCTGATTATGATCTTTCCTGTAGCCTGAAAGAGCTATTGGGCACTTCCTCTGTCTTTTCTTTCCAACCTACTCTAACAATAAAACCAAGTTGCCAATATCTCCCTGGAAGGAGTTTCTCACCTCCAGTGTCCCACTTGTTGCGGCGGCCACTAAATGTACTGGCTCCCATCACCTCACTCTGATAGCCAACAGGGCTTGCATTCATGAGTCCCACAGGACTACAGCAAACAAAGAAGAAGTTTTTAAATAGGCATAGGGGCACGCCACATGGCTATACACCCTGACTCAGTGCATTATGGAGCAGGCAAAAATGCTCATCTCCCAGTTTCTCCCTGGAAGGGGTTTGACTAAATATTTTCCCAGCTGCTGCCTGAAGGTCCAGCTTCTAATCAGTCTCCATTTAGGTGCTGACTGAAATCCTCCCCTTTGGGACATTGATGGGTCTTAGCACACCATCAACTACTGGGAATCAGTTTGTGACAGCTTGGGCTGTCACAAAGTTCTGAGAGGCAACCAAAAGCTTGGGTCAGGCTGATTGATGAGGTTCATCGCCTACAGGAGACCAGTCTGTCAAGACTGGGAGAGCTGTCTACTTTACTAATGCACAGAAAGCAACACAGAGAGTCAAGGGAAATTAAGAAACAAGAGAACATGTTCCAAACAAAGGACCAAGATAAATCTCCAGGAACCAATCTTAATGAAATGGAAGTAAGTGATTTATTTGATATAGAGTTCAAAATGCACGAATAAAGTGAGCATTTTAACAAAGAGATATAAAATATTAAAAAATACCAAACAGAAATCATAGAGCTAAGAATATAATAATTGAACTGACAATTTCAATAGAGGACTTCAACAGATAACTAGATCAAGAGGAATGAAGGATCAGTGAACTGAAAGACAGGGCAGTGGAACTAATCCAGTCAGAAGAACAAAAAGAAAAAAGAATGAAAAAGACTGAAGATAGCTTAAGGGACTCAGAGGACACCACCGAGAAGAGCAATATATTCATTGTAGGGGTCCCAGAAAGAGAAGTGAAAGAAAGGGGCAAAATGTTTATTCAAAGAAATAATGGCTGGAAATTTCCCCTACCTGGGGAAAGAAACAGACATCCAGATCCAGAAAACCCCAAAAGTGCCAAAAAAGATGAACTGAAAGAGAGCCAAACTAAGACACATTAAAATTAAATTGTCAAAAGTTAGACAAAAAGAGAACCTTAAAAATAACAAGAGAAAAACAACTTGCTACATACAAGGGAATCCCCATAAGTGTATAAGACTTTTCAGCAGAAACCTTGCAGGCTAGAAGATAGAGGGGTGATAATTCAAAGTGCTAAAAGAAAAAAAAAAAAAAACTACCAACCAAGAATCTTCTACCCAGCAAAGTGGTCCCTCAGAACTGAAAGAAAGACAAACAGTTTTCCAGGCAAACACAAGTTGAAGAATTTCATCATCACTAGACTGCCCTTACAAGATATGTTAAAGGAGTTCTTCAAGCTGAAATGAAAGGACACTATTTAGGAAGAAGAAAACAAATGAAAGCATAAAACTCACTAGTAAAAGTAAATACATAATTAAGTTAGAATATCCTAATATTGTAACAGTGGTTGGTAAATCACTTAAAACTCTAATATTAAGGTCAGAGAGACACAGAAATATTTTATTAGTGGATACACAATATAAAAAGATTAAAACTGTGACATCAAAAACATAAAATGTAAGGTGAGGGGTATGTAAAAATGCAGAGCTTTTGTACATACTTACAGTTAAATTTTCAATTAAAACAGACTGCTTTAACTATGTTTTATGTAAGTTTCATGGAAATCACAAAGCAAAAACCTGTAGTTTATACACAAAAGGCAAAGGAATTAAAGCATACTACTATAGAAAATTATCAAATCACAAAGGAAGAGAGAAAGAGAGGAAGAAAGGAACAAAGGAAGTACAGCACAGCCAGAAAGCAATTAATAAAATGGCAAAACTAAGTCCATACCTATTAAATCACTTTAAATGTAAAGGGACTAAATTCTCCAAACAAAAGACACAGAGTGGCTGAGTGGATTAAAAAACAAGTCCCGACAATATGCTGTCCACAAGAGGCTCACTTCAGCTTTAAGGACATATATGAACTAAAAATAAGGGATAAAAAAAGATATCCCATGCAAATGAAAACCAAAAGAAAGCAGAGGTAGCTATACTTATATCAAATACACAGACTTTAAGCCAAAACCTATAACAAGAAACAAAGTTCATTTTATAATGATAGAGAGATCAATTTATCAAAAGGATAAAAGAATTATAAATATGTACCAAATATCAGAGCAACTAAATATGTAAAGCAAATATTGATAGATCTGAAGGGGAAAATAGACAGCAATACAATAATAGTAGGGGACTTCAATACTCCACCTTCAATAATGGATAGATCATCTAGACAGAAAATCAAAAAAATCAAATAAGGAAAATCAATAAGGAAACATTGTATATTTTACAAGGTCAGCATACCCTGATACCAAAAGCAGATAAGGATATTACAAGAAGAGAAAATTATAAACGAATATCCTTGATGAACATAGATGCAAAAATCCTCAACAAAATATTAGCAAACAAATTCAACAGTACATTAAAAGGAATATACATCATGATCAAGTGGGATTTATTCCCAGGATGCAAGGATGGTTCATTACAAGCAAATCAATTAATGTGATATATCACATTAAGAAAATGAGGAAAAAAATCATACAATCATCTTAAAAGGTGCAGAAAAAGCATTTGACAAAATTCAACATCTTTTCATGATAAAAACTCTCAAAAATTTGGATATAAATGCATATCACAACATAATAAAAGCCACAGGTGACAAACCCACAGCTAAAATCATTCTCAATGGTGAACAGCTGAAAGCTTTTCCAATAAGATCAGGAAGAAGAAAAAGATGTCCACTCTCATTACTTTTATTCAGCATAGTACTGGAAGTCCTAGCCAGAACAAATAGGCAAGAAAAAGAAATAAAGAGCATCCAAATCAGAAAGGAAGAACTAAAACTGTCAATGTTTGTAGATGACAAATATTATATGTAGTAAACCTTAAAGAATCCACCAAAAAACTGTTAGAACATATCAGACAAAGGGCTAGTATCCAGGGTCACCTGGGTGGCTCAGTCGCTAAGCGTCTGCCTTCGGCTCAGGTCATGATCCCAGGGTCCTGGGATCGAGACCCCCATCAGGTTCCCTGCTCCTCGGGAAGCCTGCTTCTCCCTCTCCCACTCCCCCTGCTTGTGTTCCCTCTCTCGTTGTGTCTCTCTCTGTCAAATAAATAAATAAAAAATCTTAAAAAAAATAAAAAGGGGCTAGTATCCAAAATCTATAAAGAACTTATCAAATTCAACACCCAAAGAACAAATAATCCAATCAAGAAATGGACAGAAGACATGAACAGACATTTCTGCAAAGAACACATACAAATGGCCAACAGACACATAAAAAAGTGCTCAACATCACTCAGCATCAGGGAAATCCAAATCAAAACCACAATGAGATACCACCTCACACCATTCAGAATGGCTAAAATTAACAAGTCAGGAAACTACAGATGTTGGCAAGGATGTGGAGAAAGGGGAACCCTCCTACACTGTTGGTAGGAAGGCAAGCTGGTGCAGCCACTCTGGAAAACAGTATGGAGGTTCCTCAAAAGGTTGAAAATAGAGTTACCCTACGACCCAGCAATTGCACTACTGGGTATTTACCTCAAAGATACAAATGTAGTGATCTGAAGGGGCACCTGCACCCCGATGTTTATAGCAGCAATGTCCACAATAGCCAAACTATGGAAAGAGCCCGGAAGTCCATCAACAGATGAATGGATAAAGAAGATGTGGTATATATATATACAATGGAATATTATGCAACCATCAAAAAATGAAATCTTACCATTTGCAACAACATGGATGGAACGAGGGTATTATGCTAAGCGAAATAAGTCAATCAGAGAAAGACAATTATCATATGATCTCACTAATATGTGGCATTTGAGAAACGAGGCAGAGGATCATAGGGGAGGAGAGGAAAAA